GATTCCCTGCTGTGTTCAAATATCGGATTCTCCTGGATTATAGTATGTTTTATTATAGTAGGAGGCCAGGTGGAGAGTGTGTCACTCTGACATTTGCTATAATAACCATGTCTGAAAACAGCTTGAATGTAGGTTAGAAGTGAATCCTCCATATTCAGCACTCATTGTATCGCTTTAGATATTTATCACCCAAAACTAAAAACATTTCCAAACATTTTTGTTGAATGTCAAATTTATGTCAAGGCAACTTTCCTCTCACAAACCTCCCTCTTTGCGTCTCCTTATACTTGTACCGTACTTTATCGGTGAACCCTGTTATGATTGGATGTTATTCCATGTTTGACCGCTAGGCGGCAATACTGGTTTAGGCAATTTACCGTTCAATTAAGAGCGTAGAGCAAGACTGCACATGAATGTGACATGTATGTTGTTGAGAACAGGAGTTATTAAACTAAGTGACTTGATAACAACACGGCCTCATCCTTCAACACACACACACACACACACACACACACACACTTACACTTGCTTGTCTGCTTCCCATTGCCTCTTAACCACTGTGGCCGTGATTGGTGATTGTGCCCAGCCTTGCACTCTGCAGCTACAGGAATAAGGGAGACACCCGAATGGACACTGGGGAGAGAGAGCAGAGAGCAAACACAACCCAGCATGTAACAATAACGACTTGTGACCTGTTCACCGTGGGTGATGCAGAGAAGCTCAGCAAAAACACTGTACACAATGAACATTATACATGTTTTACACACACTTTTCTTCAGTTTAAATTCTTATTGTTCTTTATGGTATTCTACTTACTTTCATTTAGTATCGAACTTGTTTAAAAACCTCATTGTGTATTTGTATACTGATATCTGTATACAGTAGGAATGAAAATCGGCCTTCATACAGCTGTGGATATATTACATTTTTACATATTAATGGAATGGAAACACAGATGAAATTATAGTCAGCTCTACTCTTGCCCAAATGATAGTTTTACTGTAGTAACATTGACTTATACACATTCACACAGTCAATGATTCTCACCAGCTGTTCTTCCTGCATTTAGCAGCTGCAACTGTGTTTCTTTTAGTCTGGATGATGTTTGTACGCCTCATATTTTTTTGATATAATACTTTGATCCCTGTTGTGAAACATGCGGCTCTGCTGCCGGTAAACTTGTCAATGTCTGTGATTCGTCATAAACAGTAAACAACGCTCTTTTTGTGCGTGTGCCAAAGTCCAGACTTAAATAAAAGATAATGAAATAAAAAGCACCAGCTCATTAACATTCGAAGAAAGTCTCATGTTTTAATGTGTTTGCTGCTGGGGTTGTATTCCCTTCTTTTCACTTCAAATAAAAAAATCAAAACAAAACATGGAATTAGGCCATGAGTGGCAAAATGTTTGCATACAACTGTACATCACATTGACATATTCTTTATTCTGTTTGAATAGTGATGAGGCACAGTGTGGCATTTCCTACAAGTCAATATCATACATCAATCAGCTTCAAACGTTTCCCAGTTTGAGCTACAGGAGGCGAGAAACACATGAAGCAGATGTGGATGAACTGCGAAGCCCTTTAGTTAAGTTCACCAGCTGTGAATAAATCTGAAATCCCAACAAACATTACATTTCACAAGACACAGCACGGATAATCATCAGTGGTGCTCGGCTGCAGCTGTGAGCACAAATGTGCACATAGGGCCGAACAAATGTAGCAGCTCTATTTAAGTCCACAGTCACACAATGTAGTCTATGTAATATGCAAGAATAGTAACGAATTCTAAAGCAAAAAAAAAAAAGGAGATTTATGTTTCTCTCTAGAATGAAAAAAGACACAATCAACAACATAAGCTGCAACCTATCACTCAGACTGCAGAGGTTTTAAAACTGTCCCAACATACAGTCCAACTTTTTTCTTCAGTTATTACACTGTGTGTATATTATGTAGATATGCGTACCTTTCTCACATGTCACCAAACTCAGGCACGCTGCCAAAAGTCGCTCATATGCTGTATATATTGATGATGAAATTATTTTTATTTTTTTTAAATGCTGGTCTGCTATGCAAACGAGTGTCATATTATCTCATGAAACATCTCTTGTACAGAAAGGTTTAAGTATATGTTGAGAGTATAAGAAGCTTACCAGATGTGTTTGGCTAAAGACACTGACCTCATTTGGTGAATGGGCTAACAAAGTAATGCCACGGTCACACATACGCCAATGTAGCAGTGGAGAACCTCCGCCATTCATTTCCAACCTGTGTGAACGAGGTGGCGGATAAAACATTCACCTTCAAGGCCAAGGCAAATAGCAGTGCGGCTTCACATGGAGTTCAACTTTGGTGAACTTTGACCCGTGATATTCACTTTGCATTGGCATTTGTGTGACTGGGATCATTCCCCTCGATTTCATAACATCAATTGGTCTAGCAGGCTTAAAGCAGCAAATTGAGAATACAAGGTTTAGGTTTAAACACACAGGATAGCACATCTACAACTTGGAACAGGGACTGAAACATGGCCCATTAAGACGTCATGTTAACCATGTTGGTCACTGCTCTGCTCTGCAAGGATTCTGATTTTATGACCATGACATAATTTGATAAAATCACCAGATACATAAGATAAAGAAATCTAAAGACAATGGCTGTGATTTTAATTATATTTACATTAAAATATCACTCAAAGCGAAAATTTAAACTAGCTATGTGTCTGCGGAGGGAAAGCCTGACCTCTCACTTGTGGGGGCAAAACTGCTGGCACTTTATACGGAAAGTAGCTTAAGCTGGACTAAACAGTTGCTAGATATGTGTCATTAGATGATTTTTGTGTAGAGGTGCTAAAGGGATCTGAAAAGTCAGTAAGTCTAACAACATTGGTGCTTAAAGGTTTTCTTTCCCTTATTTAAGAGTCTGGTCATTCAGTTTGAGAGCTGGACTTGTTGATACCCCATTCAGATTTTGCAACGCTCTCATTCAAAACCCTGTGCTCGCTACCCTGCTTGTGCTTGGATTTCCTCCACTCAAGCTTCAGCTTTTTCCCTCATGCTTAAGCTGCTTCTGTGCACGTGTTGAACGTCTGCTCTCGGATTTCTCCTCTATCCTTGGATGTTTTGTTTTTTTACAAATCTGTCAAAATTCCAAAACCAATAGAATGCCAAGTGTAGTGGTAAATATTGGTGAGATTGTCCCACCCTGACCCAAGCAGGCTATATTTGAGTGTAGGGTTTTGAGTGATTGAAAAATCAATGAGTCCTGCCCTCAAACGGAAAGACCACGCTCTCGAATAAAGATAATTCGACCAATGGTGTTACCTTCATCACTTTGTCAGTCAGTCACAGACATAATCATTTCTAAGGCTGGCCCCGCTGCTGCGGTCAAGCCAAAAAGGTCCAGGCACTTTTTCTGTTAAAAAGGTATATCAGTTCAGAGCTGTAAGAAAAGCCCAGAACAGGAACATATCACAAGAATATCAACCATTTCCTCTTTTAAAGTCCATCTTGAGTCCTTCACATCTCAACTCTAGCCTCCACACGTGTCCAAGCTCCAACAAAGGCTAAACCCATATGGAAATATAACTTGTGTGCTCACACTGCAATTAAAGTAAATTTGGTCAAGTTGGAAACAGAGCCTATATTAATACATTCTACAGAGCTGATCATGATTATCAAGGCAAACCCACGAGACCCTGATGCTCACATTATCTAACAAGGATATCTCCACAAAAAAGAAACATAAATAATAAATGTATGTTAAATACATGTTCTAACGTGATATTATACCAATAAATAGGTGCTATATGTAGGTCCAAATAGCTCACAGCCTTGGACAGATACATGTGTGATATGCCCTTAGGAGCGAGACATGGCTAACATCTGTCAACAATGCAGCCACATTTATACTCATTCCGTGTATCTTTGTAGTTGTGTCATGTCTCTTTGTTTCCAGCAATTTGTGGTTATTTTCTCTTTGTATCACTTTGCATTATTTGTGTTTATTTTGCATCTCTTTTACTTTATGTACACCTGGTATCACAATGCATCTATATGCAGTCTGTATCCAGATATGATTTTGACCTGATTACATTGCTACCTGGCATTAACATGTGTCTCCAGTGTCCACATTGAGATCTAATTCGGATCCAATCCCTCTGTGCAGCTCATGTCACATCCTTGTCTCATTTATACAGGTCATCAGGTGACAGTTGGATTCTGGATGGGCATGTGCCACCTCTGGCCACCCCTCTGGTTCTGTGTTTACAAAGGATAACTAAATACCAGGCCAAAGCCTGTACTGACCAAGTATCACTCCTTGGAATTAAATGTTTGACATATTGAAAATACTATGATGTGTAGTTTTTCTCACACTTTACAGCTGAGATATTAAAAAATGGAAACTTAGATATCTTTCGGTTTCATTGTAAGCTTGGTTGTCTGAGTGAGGACATTATCTCTCCAACTCGCACATATGGAAAATGTAACAGAGTTGAGAGATGGTCTCGATACGAACTAGAAACACAAAAAGAGCAGCACCACTTTTTCTATGGAGACTGAATGTAAAGTACATGGGCAAATATAAGAAACTGAGCTATCAACCGTCCCACATTAAAGTGGGCACAAATATATGTGCAGTTCAGTTATTACTTGAAGAAGTTTGAAGAAGTAAATTAAGATAACATCACAAAATGAGATAAACATTCATGTTGGTAAATATGATTATATTCATTATTCTATTTTGGTCATTTCAATATTTGTACATGCATGTTATAAAATTTACAAATAGAAATTGTGTGCAAATATATGTTTTATTCATAATAAAATATGTTATATTTCCATTTGGGAAAATCCGCTTGACCACCTTTGCAGTTTAAGTTTTTTTTAGACGAACAACCCATAACCATAACCATAAGCTACCAAGAATCAGTAACAAATCCAACATGAAAATAAAACTGCAAATCAAAGCAAATGAATGGAACACACACACATGCACACGCACTTTTGTGAGGACTCACTGACATAATGCATTCCCTCTTTGCCCCTTACCCTAAACATCACAACTAAATACTAAACTCCAACCCCAACCAAATTCTAACGCCACCTTAAAAACAAGCTTTAAACCTCAAACAGCCCCTTGAAGGTGTGAGGACTGGCCCCAGAAATGTCCCCACACTGTAGGGTCTTTAACTCAAACTGCTCCCCACAAAGATAAGCATACAAGGGGTGGGCTCACCTGGCAGAGCTGCTGCCCCATGAGGCTGTACGCCTCATAAGCAAACAAGCACACAGAAAACCACCTATAACATTCGCAACCGAAATACTGCACTCAGAATTCATGGAATTCAAACAATGTCCACTATCACAAATGATTACCAAACAATAAAGGACATGAGTGTTGGAGGCAATTTAACAAACCATAAACAAGTTCAAAAATTCCAACTGCACTACAAATCGTGTGCAAAGCCGAGTGATACACTGAAGGCTACATGGGCGTCACGCTGGAACCCTACATTTCTAAATGCAAAAAAACACAGGTCACAAAAATGATCAGTTAATCAAATGTCAGTACACGCCAGCAGCTAAAACAAGCACAAGACCAGCTTGATCTATCGCTGTGCTTGTTATCTACAAAGCTAGTACTTTCATGGCTCATTGTTTTCAGTTTTTAATTTAAAAAAATGGAAATGTATTGGTGTTTGAAATTTCAAACGTTCAAACTACAATAGAAAACCCAGGTGAAGATCAGGAAACAGATATACACTTTGCTTCAAAAGCAATTCGTAGTTTGACAGATAGCTGCACTACCAATATTCTTATATTAACAATGGGTCAAATAACTGCATTGTACTGAAAGAGATGTCACTCATAGTGTCACACTTAGAAAGAGTTATAGTGTCCACTCATTTTAACATCTTTTGTTTATACAACCCAAAATGTTACTATTTTGATTCGGTCTCACCACCATCCACCTCGTACCTAGCATCACCAGGCAGCTGTTTTCATTCAAAATAAAAGCCTTGAAAAACCCATTGTACACTACCGGTCCAGCACTAAACAGCAGACAAAGCTAGCAAATAGCTGGTGAACATAGCAGTAAGCAAGCTAAAGACCCATACATTATTCTCAGTAGTTGGTGGAGATCGAAAGTTAATATTGGACTTTAATTTCTCTAGTTGCCAGAGCAGCAACTCCTGTTGAATGCTGATGTTTGCTGGATGTGTACATAAGAAACAATTTGCCAACAAGTTCACTTTTCAACTTTTCAAGGCAATAGTTTTCAAATGTGCAATCTTTAGAATTTAACGCTAACTATTATGTAGGATTCAAGATTTGGTACTGATGCTAGCTATAGTGGACCTAGTTGTTTTCGAGCCTTCACAAGCAGCAAAATGACTTAAGAACCAACATTTGAAGTTGAATGGACATAAAATCTATGTTAAATCACTTTAAACCTCTTGGTAAAATCAGGTGATTTTTCAGTGTAACAGCTGAACATGGAGAACCTCATCTATGGTGCAAAAAGCCATAGAGATTACAGACAATTCACAATGTGTTCTACTTATTTTACAAGTGTAGTGTTTTTCCTAGGTCTTGGAATGTATGTCTTAGTTCAAATAATGTGTGTCTTCTGCAGGGTGAGAACACATTTTACCAGCATCTTGTGAGTATATATACGGCAATGTACTGAACTGCTCCAGTCACTGCTTTAGGTAATCGATGTTTTTGTAAAATATAAACTTAGTTTGATTGGTAGAACAGTGATATAGATGAGATTTGTCTGCTCTGTTTTCACATATTGCCCCAAAATCCATACCAAAACCACAAAGAACTCGACAGAACCTCACAGAGAAATGCCTGAAACGGATGATACAAAAGCAGGTTATTAAAACAGGTTAGTAGCAACAAAAGGCAGGGTTGGATTTATGCCGTTATCTTTTGCCTAGAGTCCTGTGAGATCAACAATGGCCTTGATGAAGATGGTGTCATCGCGTATGTAGGAGTTTTTAGAGTCCAGTTTGGAGAGCGAACAGAAGAGCGGACAGCCGCTGGCGATGTTCATATCACTGACGGGCCTCTGGAAGGACGAGGAGGAGATGTCGGGCCGGAAGGCATCAATTATGTGCTCTCTGTTGTTCTGGTCAAGCAGCATTAGGGTGACCTGGGCACAGATTATGGCTGTAATTAATGATTATTGTCATAATTGATTCATCTTTGGATTCTTTTCTTGATAAATTGATTAGTTGTTTGATCCATAAATATCACAAAATGGTAATAAAAATAAAAAATGTGAGTCTGTGTCTCCTGAACCCCCAGGTGGCCTCCTCAAATCTCTTGTTTTGACCACAAACCAAAGATATTTACTTTACTGTCATTGGAGTCAGACAACAGATAATATTCACATTTAAAAAGCTGAAAATCTTTTTCATTTTGAATAAATAAAAAATAAAACACTATAATATACACAATAATTCAATTATGAAATTAGCTGGCGATCAATTTAGCGGTCAATGAATCGATTCATTGTTGTTGTACAACCTGCTCTGACAAACAAAATGGAACTAGCTGAAAAAAGCAGCTTTGGCATGATGACAATGTATTAATAACAGATCATAGAAAAGATAAATCAAATAACTGATAATATTGGTTTGCAACCCACTATGAAGTTCAACTGAAACACAAAATAACATCATGACGCATTTGGATTTTCAGTCTTTTAAAAAGAAAAGTGGCTGAAAGAAAAGTGAGCAACAATAATAATCTATATGTCCAATGTGTTCTGCACACTTCTTTACCTTCTTCTTGAGGATTAGTCTCGATGATAAGATAACAATCTCACAGTTTCTTGACACTTAAAGAGACTTTTTTATTTCTCTGCTGCTGGAAGTGAGTTCTTGTCAGCAGTGGCTGGTGGTGAGGATCTTGCCTAGAGCTTCAGTCATCATTGTGTTTAAAAGACAACAGGTTATAATGTTCCCTCTGAGCAGTGCTACTTCTTCAGGAAAAGACTGGAGACTACAGTGACTCACCACTGGCAGGAGCTGTTAGCATGCTAACTTCAGTAGAAGAAAAGAATAGACGATAGAAAGAGAAAAACATTCGACTTGCTGTCCTCTGCTGAAGACAGTGCTCGAAGGTTGATGCTGAACCTGCAACATTTCTTCTAAACTGGTAAGTAAAGAGCGAGCCTAGAATCAGAATCAGTTCTTTTAACTTAATTTAAATTTAACTTAATTACTTACTTTATTTATCACATGCAGACAATGGCTTAAAGTCGCTGCCAACTTAAAAATTGGTATTGGTATTTTGAGGCTACATCCATACTGTGACATTTTCGTTTAAAAAAGCATCAACTCTTCTGCGGATACGCCTGGCGTCCACACTACTCTGCAGTTTTGAAAAACTCTGCAGTTTTTATTCTGGACGGGCAGAAACTGAGATGTTTGGAAACAATGATGTAAATGCAACATGGATCGTCAATTTCAATAGTTGCTGACAGCTTCTGTATTTTACAATGTTACAATTACTTACATATGTAGTAGACAAGCTATGACCCGAGCAATATGCAACTGACAACCAAATGGTTCCCAGCATGTGAACACCCAGTGTACTTGAGTGGTCATGTGATATGATTCTTTTAGCCGTGTAAGTATGAACAGAGATTGTTTTTAGATGAAAATGTAGTATTATGGATGTAGCCTGAGTTTCAGCATGCAAAATGATCTATGTGTCCGGTTCAACAGTAGAGGGCTGTGGGTTTTTTTTGTGTGACTGAACGTTTTTGTGGGACAATCAAATCAGACAAAAATGTATGGTTTAAAGCCTTTTATATCCCTTCAATTCCCTGAAAACATTGTTTCAAATGTCGTTATAATCAACTACTCATCAATAAATGTTAACAATTAAAAAAAAAAAAAACACTTTAGGTATCACTTATTGAGAGTTTAAAACTCAAACGCAGCTTCAGATTGAACGTTTTTTTAATAATTGCCTAATTTATATACATAAAAAGAGAAAAAAAAGGTAACTATATTCTATTGGTGCACAGAAATCCATGACATTACCCCTTTTTCGGAATGAACAATATTAAACAACTTGGAATAATAGAATTTGGTCTTGATTCTCTTGAAGCATTAGGTTTATTATTGTATCCATCACAGAATAATTACAGTAGCATGTAGAGTAGCATTATCTGTGTGATTCTAATGAGTATTACCTTCTGATTAAAAGGCCACTTCAGGAGTGCGTCGCTGTGTCCTCTCATCACCACAAAGAACAGAGACAAGTAGGTCCCTCGGCCTGTCCCATCACCGTTCAGGTATATCCGCAAGCACATCTTGTAGCCGTATTTGCTGGTATAAAAGGCTGTAAAACACCAATAAAGTGTAATCATGATTGTTATACAGTGCTAATTAGACAGTTGTCTCATCATTGTCTGGATTATTTCTCATACGTTAGTCATGTGCAGTTGTTACCAGGAGAGAACATTGCAGGGGCACGGCCAGCCACGGCATCCTGCCTCTTCTTGGTGAAATCCGAGATCTTCCAGACAAAGATGCCATCATAGGTAGCAGCAGACATCTCTCTCATTTTCCCCTCCATCTCCACGATGGACAGGTCTCTCAGACTCACAGTCCTCTCCAGCTGACGAACCTGCAGCACAGCAGCCCGCGAACAAGGTGGTTTATTTCACTTATCGTTACAATTGAGTCGTCACATCATCCATTTTTTATACAGTCATTGACTCTATTTGTAAATAATTTCAAAAGCCCTGTACCAGCATTGGCTGTGACACACAGCTCACTGATTCAATTATGGCACCCTAGGTGACATGATGACACAATTGTTTTATACCAATAGCACCACAGACCACGACCTACAGGAGCTACACTCAGATAAACCATCCCCCAGTCCAGTGTGTCAATTGTTTGGGAGGTGAGCTTGTCTTCATTTTGTCTGAGGTGATTCCACAGTGTGACATTTTGCAGCCCAGCTGTGATTTTCATCAGAGGTCGTGTGTAATTTTGTCACCTTGTTGTTGAGGATCTCTATCTTGTCCTGGTCCAGGCGGTGTTGCCGATTGTAGGCCTCCATGGTGGTGCAGGAGCGCTCCATCTCTCGGTTGAGGACGCAGACAATGTTCTCGAACGTGCTCACTTTGAGCTCCAGCTCCTGGCAGCGCCGGCTCAGCTCTGCTACCTTGGACTTTTCACTCTGGAGCTGCAGCTCCAGGGCAGCACCCACAGCGCTGGGCAGCGGGGTGAAGGAGGTGGCCAGAGTCGGGGCGCACGCACCCAGCACGGGAGCTGCTCCACCGCCACCACCCAGCTGGCTCATCTTCTGCTCCAGGTCCCTGAGGGACTGGTGGAGTTCCTGCAGCTTGTGGCTGGCCACATCTAGGCTCTGGGGTTGCAGGCTCTCAAGGCTCACCTTGATGCCCATGATGAAATGCAGGAGCAGGTTGAGGTGTTCATAGGAACACTGCCGCTCATGGTCATGAATCTTCTCTTTCTCCACCTTGGAGCCAAAGACAGATAAAAGCAGAAACACATTAAGAACAAAGAAAGAAAAAAATGACATACATACCATCAGACAGCTGACATTTGAGTGATGTGTGAAAATGTGCCACAGCCGAAGAAAACAGTAAAAGCAGACGGCAAAAGCTAAAGCTAATAATGGATACATGCACTATACAATATTTACACCCTGTACCACCCTGATGAGAAGGATGAAGATTAAAGCCACAAGTACGCCTAATTCAGATCACTACTAATAATGAAACTGACCGGTCATGAGAAGGAAACAAAGAAAATGTACAAGGCACTGTATATCCCTCTGAGTACAGAAAAGTCATTCATAAAACATGAAAAATATTGTTCAGTCGTAATTTGGTCATACATTTTTCATTTTGGAATTTAGAGGCTACAGCTGTCTTAGTGGCTATGTCCCTCTGCGATGTAGCAATAGACTTGAACAGAGTAAATCCAGTAGTTTAATAACTCTGGCTGTATCAACGGTACCACTCCCTTTTCATTACAACAGCGACCTGTATTCCACACATGAAGATCTTGTGCAAGTTTATAAGTGTAGATTCTTTTACACCATATTCCTTAATCTTGATCCAATAGGTATTATTAGTGAACAGGGACATTAATAAATGCAAGGTGCTATAAATTGAATGTAACAGTTCTGCAGCCAATTCACCTTCTGAAGAAGAGACAGGGCGGCAGAGAATACTCTTCTACCAATCAGGGGCTACAATGATACAACAGATGAATGGGGGTTGCTGAGCACTGAACTAAAACATCACCCAGTAGTTATTACATTAGCCAGCGTTACATATAGCAAATGATGACAAAAATCTCTACTTACAGACGTATCGCAGCCAACAACATGAAATCTGCATGGAGCTTTAAATTTACTGCAGAACTTAATATGGTCCACATACTGCAAAGCAAAAAAAGAAAGAAGCTAATGATCTATAGAATACGTTGAAGAACTTGATCCCCAGCTAAATGGTGCATGAGATCAATCGAACAGAATTATGAAAATCCACTTGATTATCTGGGATACCTTTTCTCTGGGGATCTTTTTCTTTGCACAACCTTCACAAATCATCGGGTACTTTGGACAGATTTCGTCATGAGCCTAAGAAAATACAAGAGAGTAGTTTTTTTTCACAAACTTATTTCACAGACATTAGCTATTTACAGCCTCCTCAGAATTTCATATAAAAAGGTATTTTAAGACAAAGGCAAAAGGCAGCAGGGTCGACACATCTCCTGGGCCAGTGTGAAGTTGAATATTTTGTAAAAACACTATGTAAATGAAAAACATTAATTCAGTTTAACTTTAAAGATTTTATCAATGACTTTTCTTCAAAGAAGGCCAGAGGAAAGCTGGTGCTTTGGATCAGATATTTTGCACTGCAGTTTTGTGCGGCCGTATCTGGGTCTATATGACTTCTGATGTTAATTTATGCAAACTCCCATAGATGCACATAGATTGTTGTTGATGGAAGGTATGAGAAATTGCAGTCATTTAACACATTTTCAAATATGCTAGTGGAATGTGCTGTATGGTTGCAGATTGCCCATGGCACATGCAGTACACAAGTACTAGTCAGCCATCTAGATTACTGTAACTCATTGTTTTGCAGGGCTGCAGAGGAAATCTATCAAGCCTCTCCAACTTGTACCACAGCCAAAGTTCTTCCAAAAACACATCATTCTCCCCTCATTGCGCTGGCTTCCTGTCACTCTCTTCCTGCCACTGTCACAGTGTATTGCTAGTTTTTAAATCTCTTAGCAGCATTGCCCCTCTGATATCACTGACCTCCTAATCCTGTACATACCTGCTCTTATTTGAAAAGTGCTATATATATAAAGTATCTGTACTTTTATTATTACTATTTGCGTGTTTGGGTAGGGGTCTGTGGCTGCTTGCGTCCAGGACCCAATAATCCCTCTGTGTTTATGTAAAGTTTGTAGCCTCCCTCCCTCTCTTGTTGTTGTTCCCGCAGCAGCATTTTACTCTCAGTGTAAGTTTCCTGCATCAGTAAAAAGGTGACATGCTTTTAAAACATAGTGTCTGCATAATGCTGCTTAAATAGCTTTAATCATATAGACAGAAATAACTACTAGTAAAAAGATGGGCAAATAAAGTAGATTTTCATTCAACTTTACTTTATACTGTGTCAAAAACTGTATATCCACTGATATATTGTTATCAGATATTTCCATCAAAATCAGCATTTGCCCTGAAGATTCTATATAATTCGGACTCAGCAACAGTTCCAATAAGTTGGGGGCTTGTCGAGATTTAAACACAAGTGTAATGTTGCCATGGATTCATTGAATTTCCTGTGGACTATTATTCAAGCCTCAAGTTTTTACCCTATATTTGTTTGCGTTGCCTTCAACTTTCAAGGAGACTGTAATTACCACAAATGGTTTAACAAACCCTTAAAACAGACAGTGTTGGATTATAGTCACCCAGAGAAGTCTGACCTTGATGTTCTTCAACAGGAAGGGTTCTTTGCAGTATTTGCAGTTTAGTGTCCTTTCCGGACATTCTCTCTCATTGTGGCGTTCCTGTTCGTTGGCTCTCATCAGCTCTTTACAGGAAGGACACAGGATGATCATGAAGTCACAGTTGCCCTCATGACTCACCTGCAGATGATCAACAGAAAAAAAACGTTCAACATTTCAACATTAATTGGTGAACTTGGACTGCCCCCCGTAGGTTTATGTACGTATAGTGTAAGGATGAATCTGACACTTTCAAAGATACATCCAAA